ATTTTTGCCCACAAATCGATAAAATAAAAATCACTTCTGATCGACTACTAATGAAACGTAGTCTGCTGCATCGAACTGGATGGATTGTTCAATAGACCAATACACCTGCCGTACGCCAACATACCTGTGTTTCTGATAATATAGTCCAAGATGACCATTCGTTCGAATTGTTGTTGAAATTGGGACATTACACTCGGTGGTGGCACCTGCTCAGGATACATCTCCCATTGCCTTAGCCAATAGCTAGCATCCTTGTAACCGTTCACAAACAATTGAAAACTGCCCACCTTAAAATAGTTACCTACTTGGGTAATTTGCCGTATGATGTTTATTTCATGATGAAACGCCTGACCTTTCCTATACTCAACAACTTATATTAGAACATAACAAACATCATCCATCTACTAAAAACAACTTGGCATTTAGCAGCGGCAGCAGCATCCACCCATCTATCTATCATGCTGCACTCATCTAAACTTGGGTGGTCCACATTACGAACACCACAAGCAAACTATCAAACATCTCACTCGTTCGCTACCAAGCAATAATCACTAAACGAAAAGATATCGTAGCCGTAATCTTAAGTTAGTAGCCGTAAGTAATGCCATCCATCCATCTCAGTTCCAACGGTACTAGTACGATCCTCCTTCCATCTCTACATACGTACCTTACGCGGTAGTCCAACACGATGGAAACGCCTGGCTAAATCCGGATATCTGGATCGAATACGCTCCTTGGTTCGTGCTTTTGCCCGATCGATTCGGCCATAGTTGAATGTTGGCGCAGCTAACGCCACCACGGCCGTCTTCGGCACAACGTCCAACTTTAACTTAGCATCCACTAACGATGCGCCAGCCTCGGATAGATATCCCTGAACAAGGAATTATTACTATTCACTCGCCACCGACAATCATCATCATAACAACAATTTACCTAATAATAAAGCTACTAATTCACTGTATCACTTTCGAATGAATTCGCATCAAATTCCAACGAAAAATCTCAAAAACTTTTTCGCTTAAAAAACCTCAACGATTAATCAAACAATTGTTGAATTTAATCATCCACAATTCCTTATTTCATTTAAAAATTTAAAAAAAACTTCAATTAAACTAATCAGAATAATGATATATCAAATAAAATTCACAAAATCAAATCAAATCAAATCAAAAATAATTAATAACCCAACGAAACAATCAACAAAACAAAACAACTAAATAAAACAATCG